GCCGCGGCGCCGCCGGCTCTCTGCGGGGCCCGCCGCCGCCGCCAACCGCGCACCAGGAGCTGGGCACGGCGGCAGCGGCGGCGGCGGCGGCGTCGCGCTCGGCCATGGTCACCAGCATGGCCTCGATCCTGGACGGCGGCGACTACCGACCCGAGCTCTCCATTCCGCTGCACCACGCCATGAGTATGTCCTGCGACTCGTCCCCGCCCGGCATGGGCATGAGCAACACCTACACCACGCTGACGCCGCTCCAGCCGCTGCCACCCATCTCTACCGTGTCCGACAAGTTCCACCATCCGCACCCGCACCACCATCCGCACCACCACCACCACCACCACCACCAGCGCCTGTCGGGCAACGTCAGCGGCAGCTTCACCCTCATGCGTGACGAGCGCGGGCTCCCGGCCATGAACAACCTCTACAGTCCCTACAAGGAGATGCCCGGCATGAGCCAGAGCCTGTCCCCGCTGGCCGCCACGCCGCTCGGCAACGGGCTAGGCGGCCTCCACAACGCGCAGCAGAGTCTGCCCAACTACGGTCCGCCGGGCCATGACAAAATGCTCAGCCCCAACTTCGAGGCGCACCACACTGCCATGCTGACCCGCGGTGAGCAACACCTGTCCCGAGGCCTGGGCACCCCGCCCGCGGCCATGATGTCGCACCTCAACGGCCTGCACCACCCAGGCCACACTCAGTCCCACGGGCCAGTGCTGGCGCCCAGTCGTGAGCGACCACCCTCGTCCTCATCGGGCTCGCAGGTGGCCACGTCGGGCCAGCTGGAGGAGATCAACACCAAAGAGGTAGCCCAGCGCATTACCGCCGAGCTGAAACGCTACAGCATCCCACAGGCGATCTTCGCGCAGAGGGTGCTGTGCCGGTCTCAGGGGACTCTCTCCGACCTGCTCCGGAATCCAAAACCGTGGAGTAAACTCAAATCTGGCAGGGAGACCTTCCGCAGGATGTGGAAGTGGCTGCAGGAGCCGGAGTTCCAGCGCATGTCCGCCTTACGCCTGGCAGGTAAGGCCAGGGGCTAGCCAGGGGCCAGGCTGCCGGGGAGATCTCCGGGTGCTCGTGGCCCAGGTCTGCGTGCCCAGTCACTTCTCTTGATTCTCTCCTCCTGTCCCCTACAAACTTCTTTCTTCTCGTTTTTAATTTCTTATTTTTCTTCTCTTCTTCTTCTTTCTTTTCTCCCTCTTCTCCCTTTTCTTTTTCTCTTCTCTTCCTTCCTCCCTCCTTGTCCCTGAGCTTTCATTTATGGACCCCCCCCTTCTCAGTGTGCTGACCTTGGCTCTCTTTCCGACCTTACCGAACACGAGGAGGTGGGATGGGGGTGCGCGGTGTCGGCTAAGAGCACTCGCTTTCCAAAACTTACAGAAACTGGGAACTGCCTTTATGCAAAACCTTGTGCACTTCAACTCTGTTTTTTTCAGACAGTTTTTCAGGCTGCCTAGTCTCCTTGTGAGGAGGCAGTTGAGGGGCTTTGCTCTTCAGAAGGGAAAAAGAGCTCTTCGCTCTGCTACCCACTATATCAGGGAAACTTCTTTGGTCGTTGGCAGGAGGCACAGCCTTGCCCGCGCGGGGAACGGAAGGCCAAGATACATCAGCGCTCCCGGAGCCCATCTCTGGCCTTGGCATTGGCGCAGAGACTTTCTGACCGGGCTTAACTGAAAGAGCGGGCTCGGGCCAGGTCCAGTGTCACTGCCTACAGCAAGGGGAGAGTGCAAGGACGAAGGTTGGACTGTTACATTCACCAGTCTGGGAGGACGTGGGAGAAACTGAGGAAAGCGCCCTGCCTCACTCGCCGGCTGCCCTCGCCCAGCTCCTAGCGTTTGCTGGGATTTGCCGAGATTTGCCCGGGCTCTGGGAGATGCTAGCCGCTCGCGGGAAGAGGTGCTGAGAAATTAAAGATGCAGGTTAGTTAATGCATCTCGGCGGGCCGCGGGCTGCAGGCTCCGCCTTTGCATTAAGCGGGCGCTGATTGTGCGCTTAGCGCGGCGGCGGGGAGGGCTGGCGGCCGGCGGGAGGGGACGGATAGAGGCGCCGGTTACATTGTTCTGGAGCCGGCTCGGCTCTTTGTGCCTCCTCTAGCGGCCGAGCCGCGAGGTACAGCCCTCTATTGTTCTAGGAATACAGAAACCTCCTGTGTGGGCGGCGGGTGCTGTAGCTGGAAGGAAACACACAGTAGTGGCTGCTACTGGCACGCAGTTGCGCGCTTTTGTGCGCACAGACGCCGCGCCCCGTGCGTGGCGACTGCGCTGCCCCCAGGAACGAGCCACGGACCCGGAGGGGCAAAATGTCCAGGCCCCCCACTGGGGAGGACACACAATACGCCACTGCAAGCCGGAATGGGCGGCTTCTCTTGGACTGGGGGCGGGAGGAATCTCTCGGGATTGTGGGAAGATCTGGGGGAACAATTCGTGGTGGCGTTGATTTGCATAGCGTGGATATTGGGATGCGCGCGGATTTGAGCCGGCCGCGCACAGCGCGCTTCCAGAGCTGCGCGCAAGCTCAGGCTCCCACTCCCGCTCCCCAGGGCTTTGCTCGCACCGCTGAGCCCAGCTTGTGAGGCGCACTCGGCAGTTGCCCCGCAGAACGTGGGGATGTGACAGGCAGCGTGTTCACCTTTGACTCGGGGAGGGAAAATTTCCGCTCTGACAGTATCTTCTTTAGCCCGCAGTTAGAAAATTCCGACCTCCAGTCAGTAATTGCCCCGCAGTGTTGATGTAAGATGGTAAAGAAAACCAACTTTCTCTTAAAGAGCTTCCCCCAAATCGGTGGACTCCGAATACTTTTGAGTGGATTTAAAAATCTATGCAATCTTTCTTTCTCCTTTAGTTTACTCTTAATTCTCTCCGACAATTTTCTCCTATTTGCTCTTGTTTCCTGGGAAAGATAAAGCGGTGAGCAGAGAGTAGCGGTAAGGAATAAACTGAAGGCTTACTGACAATTCTTAACATTGTAGTACCCCTTTGTCTTAGATCCCCCAAATGCCCCAGGCCCTCTCCTGAGGGCTCCAGCACCAGCTGGCTTCCTGGGCACAGGGGCCCAGAAGGAACTTGGCAGCTGGTCTTGGGGAATACAGTTAAAGGCAGGATGACAGCTCTTCTACTCTGGCCCACATCAGAGCGCTGCCGCCCCCTCATGCCTGTCGCGCAAAGAACACAGCTTTAAAAAAAAAAAAACACGCTCTTTCTGCCTATATAGGTCCGAAAGTGATGTGGAAAGAAATGCTTCACCTGTTAGCACATTCCGGCTTTTACAATGACCCCAAGCATTGCTGGGATGGGGAAGAGTGTGGCATCATCCTGGGGGTTCCTCAGCCCCACTCATGCCCAGGGCGCGACTCACCAGGAGCTGTCCCTGGAGAGCATGGCCCAAGCCGCTGGCTTTTCAGGGGAGCAGCGCTGAAGCCGTGCGAGACTGAACGCCTCCTTGAGCGAATGGGAATGCCTGCTGAGGACCCCGCTTTGCTCAAGCATTCAAATGTGTCTGTTTTATTACCTTGGGTTGAAAAGGGACAAGAGCTTTAGCCTTTTTATCTGGCCATTTTATCAGCAACTACAAGTGTGTTGAGTGGTTATTATTACATAGGAGGCTTTTCAGTTTGGGGTCAGTAGATCAGTCTCTTCAGACACTGACGCAGAAGCTGGGCCCGGTAAGTAGGTATTATGTGCTCAGGAGCGCTAGGGGACAGGAGCAAATGGAAGTGAAAAGCAGAGGTCTGCTCCGCCCGGAGTATCGATCCGAATCCCCGCCGGGACGCCGCTGAGGGCCCTCGCCGTTGGGCCCCAGGGGCTTAACTAGCCCACGGTTCCGCTGGGCGGCTCGGCCAAACTCCCAGGCTGGAGCTTCGAGGACGCCGCCCCCCATCCCGCCAGATTCGGCCTCTTTTCTCTTTCTGTCTCCTTTTAGCTTCCCTTTCTTTTTCTCAGTTCCCCGCCCCCGCCCCGGGTCCTGCCAGAGGGCCAACCAAGCACACAGGGATTTGGGGGCCTCAGAATTAAGTTTTCTGATGTGGCCAGTGCCCGCAAACCTCACCCTTAGGCGAAGTACGTCCCGTCACTACAGAGGCAGGTCGGGCCTCTTCTCCCTGTCACTTCCGCTTAGTCGCAGCCAAGGGTGGCACTTAAAAGGGAAGGGAGAAAACGTCACGGAAACTCAGATTGCCCCAACCTTAGATTTCAGAAAAATGGACTCCAAATGCATGGTTTCGTTCGGAAAGGGCGGCTAGGGCACCAAGTGGTTGCACCCGCCCTGTTGGGCCTCATCGGCGGTTCCCAAGGCCAGCCCTCACAAGGGCGGTATTTATTAACCTAGCAAGAGGCAGCGAGGACCAATTCCCACGGGTTCGAGCACACACACTCTCCGGCTTTGAGCCCAAGGTGCCTCTGAACCGAGCACTAACAGGAATAAGGAGGGACTGAGAGAATCCAGGCAAGCATCTGAACGGGCGTCCCGCAGAAGAAAAGCGAGGCCCCAGCGGCGGGCGTGGTGATCTCTTCCGAAGCTGGGAAGACAGAGGGGAGCACCCTCCTCCACCCCACCCCCCGCCCCGACTACATTCCCCGTGGGCCCGGCTCCCCCGGCGGCCTGCCGGGAGCCTCCTCTAGTCCACGCCGCGGGCCGACGCACCGCCCTCTCCCTGCAGCTCCCCAGCCGCCAGTCTGAAGCCAACTCTGTTCTGGCGGCCGAGGGCCCTTAGCCAACCCGCCAGGATGTCTCCTGGGCCATCTGACGTCCGCAGCGGCGGGACACGGCCCGGACGGCGCGCCTCGGCTCCTGCTTAGGGGCACCACGTGCGTGCGTGTCTCTTGCTGCGCCGAGACGTGTTTGGGTAACGCGGCCGCCAGGCATCTCCAAGCCGAGGAGCAGGAAGGGGACCTCCTTCGCAGCATCTTCCCCACCCCCACCCCCTCTCACGTTGCTGCGCCCCCGGCTCAGCTCTCCTCTCCTGGCGGCTTAATTAGGGATCTGAGCCCGAGAGGCCGAAAGCAGCCCACGCCAGTGCGGAACAGCCGATATGTTCGCCTGCTGGCTGGTTGGATTAATAATTGAAAAGCTCGCTACAGTCCTTGCTTGGTCAAGTCCCGGGTGCCGGGAGAACACCTTCCTAACACGCATTAGGGTGGGCGGGGGCAGGCGGAGGAGGCAGGACGCGAGGAGGGGAGTGAACTCCGGCGCTGTAAGCATTCCAGGCCGCCAGGCGCCCTGGATGCGAGAGGCCGGGCATTTATTTTTATTCCAGGCTTTCCACCGTGTGGTTATGTCACTTTCTCAAACAAATGTGTATATGGAAGGAGATCGATGCTGATAATGTTTAGAAGATTAAAAGAGCATTAATGCTGGCAACAATAACGTAAACGTGTGGACCCAGATTTCATTGATCTGGAACCTGATCCGGCGCGTTTCCAGTAAGCCCGTCGGCGCGCTCTTCCCAGCAGAGCGCTCGCCAGCGCCCAGGCTCCCCGGCTCCCGGAGCTCCCGCCGCGCCGCTTCCCCAGCTAGGGACGAGATCTCGGGTCTGACGGCAGCTCCTCCCCCACGTGGTCCCAAACCGCCCCTACTTCCCCGAGGTTTTCTCCTGCTCTCGCAGGGCTCCCTGTCCTTTTCCGCAGCCCCGGTGCGAACACGCCGCTCCCTGAGCTCCCAGAGGACTGTCCGCGTGCCACGGGCCGGGAAGGCGCTACGCCAAAGAGCGCCAGTCCTCCCAGCTCTCCTGTCCTGGGCCTGTGTGGCCCGTACCTGGTTCAACAGGGCCGGAGGCAACTTCTTTTTGCTATCGAAACCGTCCAGGAAAGCCCCGATGATTTCGAAATTCGGTGTTGATATGCACGAACGACCAAGCGCGAGTTTGGAAATGACGCGGCCAAAGCGGCCTGCTAACCGCAGAGCTCAATGATTCGCAGATCCGCTCCGATCCTATACATTCTGGTACTAAAAGTCCCACTCGCAGACTTTTTACACAAGTGCATTAGTTGAACAACTAAACGGGGACTCAGTAACAATAATCTGGGTTT